ATTCGATCGTTTTGTGTGAATAAAGTATTAAAGTATTAAAGACACTTACTCTGAGTCTACTTCAGCAACGGTGCATTTGTATTGTGCCGTTGAAAATAGACAAATATCAGCGAATTGACGCACGGAAACCTTTATTTTTTTAACGGTTCGATTCGAATTGTTGGCAATATGGACATTAACACAAATTGTTTCACCATGATGATATAACTAAGGAATTTTAGAGAGATTTTGATGTTTTTCATTTCGTTTTTTTCGCAATTCAAATGTATGTAAACACTCACCTCCTTGTCAAGGCTAGCTTCTAAATGGATTTTATTTGGTTTCATCATAAACTCTTTACTAACTTCAATTGAAGGCTGTTCGCCCAGTTTCGACGGTGCATACATGATTTTACGAATGGCTAATCGCACTGAATTCCGTTTATGCGGCTTATCATCGATAAGATCACCAACAAATGCTTTCAATTCATAGTCAACACCACAAGGTTTGCCTGAATGTGAATCATTTTTTTACATATATAGAAAAATATTATTTAACGAATATACGAATGCCCGTATTAATTTTACTTATGCTGGAGAATGAAATATTACCTGTATCACCTGGTGCTGGTTGCAATGAAACAGATGCAGGACAGTGTGGTGGTACTTCAAAATAAAATGGAAATGCATAATTTCCCAATTTTTTTATTAAACGCTCTTGAAGTCGTGTCAATGGCCGGTCCTTATTTATTTGCGGATATATCTTCAATAAAGAGAAACAAATCATTGTCATTTAAATGTGTCTTTTAATCAGATTGTTGTGTGGTACACACCTGTTCTTGTGCTAAATACAAATCTTTTCGAAATGTTAGGCCCAACACGTCTAAATCTTCGCGACCATAACGAAATGCCGCCAACACATTACCAAATACTTTTCGATCCTTCACATAATCTGGATCAATTAAAACAACGCCATCAATCCCATCAACATGAGATATGTGATCGACAAAATCTCTTTTTCCCAAGTAAACCGTAATCTTTCCATTTGACGAACTTTTCTTAAACACTCTGCAAAAACAATAAATTCACTTTGCTTATCATCGATCATCGAAAATGAAAACACTTGAACGATGATGGTGGTTGATATAAAATATGGAATTGTTGACAAAATATACCTGGTTGCTTGTCGCTTTGAACTGCCATCATCCATATCTGGATCGGGCGATGGTGCCAGTGATCCAGTCGCTATTGGTTTATCCATTTCCCAAAATGATGCACAATGATTGGCTACGTGATGCCGGTGTTGTGATGGTCGGCGAACAGTCTACAGTGAAGTGATTTTTTTTATTCTCTATCACATGTACTGTGCTGTATCGAATAAACAATATACAATTTATATCAATTGATAATTTGGTGATATCACTCTATATAAACATCAATTGAATAATATTTATTTAACTAAAAAAAGCGGTTTCTTAGAAGAGAATATAATAAATGTGTGCTGTCGTCACATCCATACTGAAATGAATGTAACAATGTGACACGCATCCGTTATTGATAAAAAACAATATAAGCCTAAACATTCGAAGGAGAGAGGGGAAGAATGAGTAGGTAATATGAGTCATGAATACACCACACTCATGACTTGTATGATTTGTTTTTCGGTGAATAATATCATAAATATGCCATTGTCGGCCTCAAATTCTTTGCATTTTCAAACGAATATTATTCGTAAAACGATAACAAAAAGAGTTATGGCAGTGATTTTCTCTTATGTTTTTCGGCATTGTTTGTTGATTATCCAATTATAATAAATATTTGACGTAATTTCGGATTCACATGTTTCTACATAGACTTCAGACATTTCTACATGTTTACATGTTTACTTTCGGTTATACAAATGTCGTTTTTCTGATTCTGTTTGAAATGTAGCGTCAATTTCCGTCATCTGACAGTTCTGATTTGTTTAAATTCAACATTTCGCAATTTTCTACTCTTCCATTGTTTTCTGCAAAAATGAATGAAAAAAACATTATTTTTTTTGCAAAATGCGTCTTTAATTATATCAGTAGACGCTGGGGAAATAAAATGACGTCCTAGGGGGTGTTGGTCTCTAAACATCGATATCAAGAAAATATAACAAAAGTGTTTGGTGTACAACACTTCCCAGTAAATGTATATAATATAATAAATGTTAGTCATTGATATGTATGTATGTGGAATGCCACAAATTTGCGGATAGGGAAGCCCCTAGATGACGTCCATTGAAATAGAAGTTCTTTCTTCTGTCGTTGATTGCTAAAATGTAGAAGTGAATGTGATTTACAAGCGAGACCAATTTATTTTTATTACATTTTTGCCGCTATTGATGAGCTCCACAATACCAGCCCGTGTGTATTATTGGCTACGTGTATATATGTGTATATTTGATCAGCAACTGATTTTGTTTTTATATACATTCACTTTATTGGAGCAGGCAGACTTTTTTTATACGACCGACATAATTCTCTTTCTCCCTCTCTCTCTCTCTCTCTCTCTCTCTCTCTCTCTCTCTCTCTCTCTCTCTCTCTCTCTCTTCTTTAAATTGATAGCCCAGTAACTCTTTCGATGTTATCCATGTGCATAATATTAGTATTAGACTGACTGTATGAACGTATGACGGATGGCAGTCTCGTATGCATTGCATTATTCCCTATCTCATCGTCTTTGATATAAAATTACTCTATTTGAGTTCTTTTTTGTCATACACGAGCAGATAGAGAGAGAGAAAGAACGAAAAGGTATATGATATAGAAAACGGTACACACACACTCATTTGAGACATTGCTAAAAGTAATGGCAACATTGCAAGTATAAGCGTGGGATAAGAAGAGAGCAATTTAAAAAGGTGCACACAGTAGCGCTCACATAGCAAAAAAAAAACATGATGGAGAAAAAAAAAACAAACAAACCAGGAACCTATCTATGTCCAAGCTAATGGAAATAGGAGAGAAGATGGATACATTAGATTCAATTTAAACGTTTCCATTCCACCTTATTCTATTTTGAAATATGAGCCTGGGCAAATAATAATGAACGATAATTGATTTCTCGCCTTACTTTCTATCGCATTTTATTGTTATTAGTTTTTTTTTGTTCGCCAGCAAATGTTGCATGTTAGTTGCCACTACAAATGGAATACAAATCAGATTTTATCGAAATTATGTCAACGAGTAAATTGCGATGTGATAATTTTGAAGTACCAATATCCACGTACTTTGCTCTCACTTTTTTTCCCCGTAAATTGAATCAATTTGTAAATGATTTCTGATTTTTCAATTTTCTTTTGGTGTTTGCTTCTTTTTACGATTATAATTTATCCATTGACTCAACCTCATGAAAAAAACATTCACAAAACTCATTAAAACTCGCATAAAATTATAAAGTTACTAAAAAAATTATTGCTGCAGTTTACACTTCTTTTCGTTTCATTTTTAATCTGAAAGTGCAAGTTTAGAGCGAAGAAGAAAAAAACACACACACACTTTGTAGTGTGTAGTGGAGTTATACAATTTATACATTAAACACTCAATTAAACACGGCAAACGTAATATAATATTGAAAACGCATGTTTGATCTTAATTTAACTACACAAATAAATGTCCTCTACACATAAACAATGAAAAACAACAATTTTAGCGTGAATGCTTATTTTTCATAACAATTTTACTCGCCGTAATACAGTATCTTAGCTACGATCTTTTTTCTTCATGTAATCCACACTTTTTTCTCTTCTTATCACCGTGGTGCCTCAAGTATTTATATATTTTTTTCCACACTGACGTATGTGAAAACAAATCTTTAATGTAAACAAAGTGTTCGTCTGAATAGCTCGAGATTAGAAAAATTCTTGTATGTTCACGGCTACCGAATTTTTATTCGAAAGAATTTAATGAATCGTTTTCGTTTGGAAAATTTTTATTTTATGTATATACATTATTATTGCATGGTATGAATGAACAAATAATTTTATGAATTAAAATGTATCCAAATATCTCCTTCTCGGTCATTTTGAAAAATTTCAATGACATTATAAATAATATAGGTACATAAATTAACAGTGACAATTTACTTACTTCGGAAGATAGAATTTATCTGTTAGTTATGTTGACCGTATACACTATACTGACAATATCAAAAAATAATAATAATTGAAATTGAAAACACACGCACACACTACCATAACATATTTTCAAATGTTTAAAATGCAACACTATCGAAGTGAGCGAGTTTTTAAAAACAATCCATTGTCCATTCGGAATTCAATTTTCTGAAATATTTTATTAAAAAAAAATGAATCAAAACACGCTATGGCTCTCCTAGGTTCGTTGCGATGCGTTCTGTTTCTTTCTTACTTCTCTTTTGAACTGTATGATTTTTTTAATCGTTATCCGATTTAGAATGTGTGCTTTATTCTTTTTTTTCTCTTTCTCTCTCTCTATCTCTGTCTATACTGAAAATCACATAAAACACACCGAAAAGTACATAGCAATGATCCACATTTGGTTCGATTTGGTATTTTAGTTTTTTTTTTTTGTTTCTCGTTCGCTCTCGTAAATTTTGCCTGTGTATTACTTCAACGACGAATTTGGAAAGAAAACAGAATCGCAAGGAATTGTTGATGTATCTAATCGGAATTTCAAATTGAACCGAGCGTTCTATGCGTCAAAATGTTTTTCTCTCTCTCTCTCTCTCTTTCTCTCTCCTTACACACTATTTATGCTTGCCATTCCATATATTCTTGTGTATAACATAAAATAAAATTGCGCGAAAATGTCAATTGTGTTTATGAAATGTCAGTGACTTAACACTGACTATGTTAGCACACTGCATCAGTATATGTTTGTGCATACAAATTTTATGTTTTTCTCTTTATTTATTTCATATCCTATCTGACGATAGAAAGAGCACGAAGATTCAATAAGAATTGATATTAGACTAGTGTTATCGTGTTGATGATGACAGATTAAATATGACATAAAATTTAAAGCTTTGCATTCCGTGCGCAACTCCTTCAAAATAAAAGTTTCGTTACATTTGTTAATATTACCCAATTTGTAAATAGATGGCGCTGATTGTATTTTTTTTCTTATTGAAAATTATTCAATTATTTCGTTGATTCGATCGAAAATTTTCTAGAATATAAATGGAGAAATTCAAATTAAATTCGTGAATTATTGCAATAAAATGTCTAATTAAATCAATTTTAATGGTTTTCTGAATGAAAGTGGATGAACACATAAATTTAAAAGAAAATCGGTAACAAAGGTTCAAACAATGAACCAAAATTATGCAATGGTTTTATTATTTGCATTTTTCTAATTTTTCATTTGTATCTCGCTGTTTTAAATGGTAAATAATATATATATATATATCGCTCTCTCTCTCGCTATCCTTCCTATCGATTTATCACAAGTGCCGTGTATTGTTGAACGCTTGCCGTGGCTCCATCCACTGGCACCTCAGTTGGCACCTCATGTCCCGGTGGAACTTGAAAACTAAAGTTTTGTAACAATGTTGTTGTAAATAAAAATATATTTGCTCGTGCCATCAATTCGCCCATGCAACGATGCTTTCCAACGCCAAATGGATAATGTCGTTCCGGTATGGTAATCTTACCATCTTTTATAAAACGATCGGGACAAAATTTAAAACAATCAAATTCAGGATTGGCATCAGACCAAATCGTTTTATCAAATGACATTCCATAAAAACATGCAATTATCATTGTATTCTGCATTGAAAAGAAGAAAAAAAAAAGCACAAACAAATTATCATTTGTATCACTTTTAAAATAGAAAAAACATACTTTTGGAATGTTGTAGCCACGGAATTTTGTATCGCGTAATGCACGATGTGGAATGCCAAATGTATGTCCCATGAACATTCGAACAGCTTCCAAAACAGCGGCTTCACAATATGGCATTCTGTGGAATATAAATTTCAAACATGTATTAGCAATGATGTAAAGCAAAATGAAATTTATACATGTTTTAAACCAGAGATTGTGAAGAGGAGAGCTCGGAGGAGCAAAATATTGAAAATCAATGTTTTTTTCTTTCGAAAATCGTAATATCAGTAATTTAAATTATTACCACTCCCCCGACTTCTCCTCCTCACATTTGTTGCCCTGAGAAACAGTCTTTAATTTATACATACTTGGTGCGATCTTCAAGTGTTGGTAACCGATCACGACCGATAACTCGGTCAATTTCTTCTTGCATTTTCGCCTGTATATCCGGATTTCGTACGAGATGTAACATCAAAAATCCCATTGATTTATTGGTCGTTTCCGATCCAGCAATAAACATATCCAAACAAACGGCCAACAATTGTTTTTCACTAAAACTATCCGTATGCGTTTGCGTACTATTAATCGCTTGCAAATAAACATCCATTAGATCTCTTGGTTCATTTTCCATTTTAAAATTTCGCTTATGATTTTCAAGCTCTTGTCCCAAAAATGTGTATAACATTTTATGTATATCTTTGAATTGCGTGTAACCGGAAAAGTTGGGTGCCAAAAATCGTAAAAATGGAAAATGACTGAACAACGCACCGACCATATCAATTTTTGTGAACAATGTGTACAGCATTCCTTGTAAATGTTGTACCTCTTTATTCCCTTGATTATAACGAATACCGGCCATCATTGTCCACAATGTGTTCAATACATAAATATTGAATGCATCACGCATTGGTACCATGGCGCGTCCATTTTGTCGAAATACTATCGTTTTAAAGTCACTCAATAAATGTTCACTTTCATTTTGTATCATTTCAACCATACCGCGTCGTGCAAAGCCAAACTCTTTTAAATGTCGCATTATGAATCGTCGTTGCTCTTGCCAAAATACTTCGTCAACAAGTAGAATTCCACGTCGCAGACCCCATGTTCGTGTTGTAAAAAATGGTCCGGTCGGTCGACCATCCAAGTCTTCATTGTACATCATTTCAAGAATTGCATCAGCACTAACGGCCACCACAAGCTTATCTTTGCCCACTTTAAAGCCAACGGCACCGTTTTTTGCATGCTTATTGGCCATTCCCATTGTTGCTTTGCACAACATTCCTGTTCGTATACGCTCATTATGCATTTCCCATGCACTACCAATAATGGGATACCATTTTGGGCCGGGTGGAAAATTTGCTGGTTTTACACTGTCCAAATACAGTAAAATCAACAACACAATGACAAAGGAAAAGAGGAAGAACCACATGATGCGCTCAACACAACAGTTCAACGCAAATATAAACTCGTTTTACTCTCTTCGGCTAGATTAAATAACATGAAAAATGAAAAAAAAAGAAAGAAAAAAACAACAGAAACAAAGAAAATAAAAACATCAAAACAAAACTAGATAAAAAAAACTATAAATATCTAAACGAACGGGATAAATAATTTGTCAAACGAATGATGTGATATGTGTTTCGTTATGGAGCACTTCGATTTGATTATATGCTTATTTGAACATTGTGTTGTTTTTATGATATATATTTGCTTCTAGCAAAATTCAATTCAAACAACACAATACTGCATTATAATATATGATTTGCAATCATTCACATAATTTGCAACGTAAAAAAAATAAATAAATAAATTATGTAAGTATACAAGACGTTGTTTAACAAAATATGCGAAATGCAATGTGCGCGGGTACAAAAATCAGCGCACAATGCGTGCCTAATGTTTGAACCTGAGAGAAAGTCGTTTTTTTCTACGTTATTATTGTTGCTACACACACTCTTTCGATCATCGCATTCTTCTTTCTTTTTCCATCGATTGCATTTTACCTTCTCTAATGTAATTTGTTACTTCTGTTATTATTATTTTTTTCGTCTAACATTCACAGCTAGATGAATTCATTGTAGATTCTGTGTAATCGTTTGGTAACACGATCAATTTTGCATTCCGAATGGAAAGAGACAAACGCAGACGTATTATATCAGATTCTCTTCATACTGTGAGACGGTTCATTCGCGAACGATCATATATGTGCGCGCGTCATTTTCTGCAAACAACGAGAAAGATACAGAGAAAATTGTGAAAAGTAATTGTCGCTCTATGAACCACGCATGCAACACAGTGCTACAGATCATTTAAAAAAACACATACGCGCATGATTTTCACTGATTATTTTCGTTTTATTAAGGCATCTCATCACATATTCCAAAGAGCACCATTTTATAATAAAAAACCATTCACAAGATATAATTATATGAATGAAACTTTGCAAGGATTTTACAACAAAAAGAGCACTTTAATCGCAATTTATTCACAAAAATTATTGCCAAAATATATTTCAGGACAGCAAACGAGTTTGCCAATCTTATCAAAACAGACCACACGATGAAAGACATTAATAGCCTGTTGTTGTTAATACGATAGATACATTGCCATGACGAGTTCTGATCAGAAAAATTATTTTTATCACTTTTTTTATTTCGAATATAATTTTTGCCACATTTTCAATAAGGTCCATTGTCAAATGATATTCGGCATAATAACGATTAACGCACGGGTCGAATGGCCCTTTCGAAAACGAATTGAAACACTCATATGCAAACACCGTGTTTTCGCCGATTTTGGTTTTTCTTCTTTTCAAATCATTTCATAAAATTACGTTGTTTTGACCAATAAGACTCCCAATAAAACGAAAATAATCATAATCACTTAAAGTCTTGTGTATTTAAAAAAAACGATTTTGTAGCATTGTATAATAGTGATGATAAGCTCAATTGAAATATATAATACTGTATGTATGCTTACACGATCTGCAAAGCATGTATGAGAAAAAAGTGTATGTAATTTCATTTATCCATTGCATAAGAACCTGTTTTGTAGCTAAATGAAAGGCTTGTTAACGTTAATTTTTCATAACTTTACTTTCAGATGAAATGCAACGTGCAACCGCGAGTGTCTTCACATAATCAAACAAAACGAAATCATTCATCGATGTGAAACGATGGAAAACAAAAGAATTTCGTTTGGAAATGTAAATGACACATATCTATGTTTCTGATTCATGCTATGATGAGATTTGCGTGTCATAATCTTTATGTGAATCGCAGCACTGCGCTTAAATTCTTTTAAAAAATATCTTCCGGTTCACAAGCAACTTTTCCGACATCCGAAAATGCGTTCATCGTGTGAAAAACAAAACTTTGTTTTATTGACACAAAACAATATACGTGACTTGAAGCGTTTGCAATCAAAACACACTATCCAAAACTCAACAATTACATAATTAGATGAGAAACAATTAGTTAGTTTGCAAAGAAAAAAAAACATTCTATATTGAAATGCCTGATCACATACTGGTCACTTACACTATATGTTGATTTTTTAAATTTTACTTCGATGATGGGTACTCTCTCTCTCGCTCTATTGAACACTTTTACTACACAAAGTGTTAGCCGCCAACTAAACAGATTCAAATCAAACATTTTTCTAATATAGATATTTTCCCGCCACTATCTATCCCTCCTAGAAAGAGCATGCAGACAGACAAACACACAAACAAATAGTTGCGCATTGTCTTTTTCAAATATTTTTCAATGATAATGAGACATTTTACGGTTCTTTTTGCATATCTTCTTCATTTTTTGTTTTGTTTTAAATATAATAACTTCAAACAGAGCTTCGCGCTCAACTGGCGATATACACCAAAATATTTTAATTGAAAATAATATAGCAACAACACAACGTAAAAACGGCCATGCATGCCTTTCGATGTACGCTTCGTTTTGAAACGATGGCTGAACTCAATTACAATTATATTTTTCACCTAAAGTTACAATTACAATCAAACAAAATATATCATTTAATAGTTAAATGATGTTCGTAAAGTTTGTATAATAGTGATGAAAAAAATCCAAATTACTGGTAATAAAATCGACAGAAATTTTAAAAAATCTGGACGAAATGATGGTTTTTTATCACATTAATTACTAATTAATAAAAACAAAGTATTAATTTGTAAATTTCAAATTTATTGAAGTAAAAAAAGAGCTTTTATACAACTAAGCCATAGTTGGTTGATGACTTTAAGGCTCTTTTGTGTGGTAATTGTAGTTTCATTCAATAAGAAACCGGACTAAAATTCAAAAGAAAATCAAAAGCTGATCCGAACAAAGCGAGAACAACATCAATGCCAATCAACCCGTATGCTCCTTCGATTCGTCGCATAATACCTGATACATCTACAACCCGGTTGCTAAGAGATGATGGTATATCCTCCAATCCAATTGGAAGTCTAAAAGGTTTGCAAATTTCGGTGAGAATGGGACCCAATTCATTAAGACCAATCAAGCCTTGAAGAACGGCCAAAAGTTCATCAACGTCTACTTGATTTTTTGTTGCAAGCAAATCAGTAAGAATAAACAATAATGTGCCTGGAACGAAGTTAACTACACTCATGAGGATTCCAGCACCGTTTACGAGCCCGATTATCACAGCATTAATTCTAATCCGTCCGGTATTTTTAGCCAAAAGTGTAATAACAATTTCTAGATCCACATTTGTGTTGGCCACACTTGACGGTATACGCTGTAAATTTAGTTCAATTTTGAACAGTTTGGCGATTGCGATGAGAATGGGAGCCATTGTGTTGACACCATCCTTTTTTAAAACATTCAATTCGGCAATAAGTTCGGCTGAATCAATTTCAATGTCTGCTGGAAGCATCGGTACAACAACGTTTAACATGGTGCCCGGAACTGAAGCAACAACTTCGAAAAAACCGTCGACAACATTACCAATAGCGATTAGAAGAGTTTGGATGGAACAAGCGCCGTTGACCGAGTCCAAATAGGTTGAAAGTGCTTTAAGATCCACGTAGGGACTGTAGATTTGCGATGGAATATAGCCGGCAACGTTGACTTCAAATAGTTCTCCAAGTTTTTCTAAAAGTGGACCCAATAAATAACTATCGTATTTGTCCTCCAGCAAAGCGTTCAGTTTATTTTGTATGACTACAATCGGAACAGTAACCTTTGTTGATTCTAGTTTTATCAAAAAATCTAAAATTCTGACTGCATACACTGGAGCTGATGGTGATGGTGGAGGCGGCGGTGGCTCAAGCGGTGATAGTGCAGCCATAACCTCAGTGATGTTGTATTTGTATGCCTTAATAAAATCAACTAGATTTATGTTTGTTGGTTCGTTGCAAAGATTCTGACATGTATCTGGTAATACTGTTGCGTGGACAATGCCAATAGCTAGAAAAATTGCAAGTGGCTTATGCATTTTTTTTTCTTTCGACACTTGTATTTCGAGGATATGATGCCTTTGACATTCAATTGAACTAATATTTGGCACATTATTTCACATCGTATTTATACGATTTCAGAATTTATAATATGCTATAAACCAAACCATCATATTCATATAATTTTTTCAGCATCTTATTAGTGATAACAAAGTATCATTCAGTGCTGATGGTAGTTGTTGACTGGAAACTAGCGGCCGACTGTGCCTTGCATTTGACTCATACTATTGCTCTTAGATTATAATATTGATTTTGTATTTTAATGAAATAGATAAAATTTGTTACATAATGTCATTATTAATTTTTAATCGATGACTGATACCAGCACAGGATGACGACACTCGGAATACGTGAGTATTTGCGAAAAATGATACAATAAATGTGAATGTCTGAATTTTGATAGGGCTAATTAGAGATTAGAAGACACCATATAATCACCAAATTTGTGTAAGCATACTGTATTCGGGCCGCTTTTTCTACAGCTGCTTTCGAATAAAAGGCGTGAATAGTTTACAAGGATTGGTTATATAATTGGAAAAAATGCTAAAAACAAGATCGAATGAATTTTTGTTTTATTTTATTCCAAACTGTACTGTGACAAAATCTGAATTTCGTTTTAGTGATATTAAAAAAAGCGACTTAAATACAAAAATCCATCTGCACCTAGAGTTAACTCGCCGAATTCACCTTGAAAATTTTAATCAAATAATGTTGATATTTCATTCTACGTCGGGGAATCCCATAAAAGATAAAAAGCGGGAAATCCCTAGTACCTCTGTGGAGTATTGTAAAATTATTAAACACCTATTTTAAATTATGACATTATGACTTTGTTAGATCATTGTTTATTGAATAAGCGGAACGTTGTAATAAATGCCAGCCTCTTTTATTATTGGATTATTGGATTCGTACGGGGAGCATACTAGGTCTACTTTTCAGTAATATCCGTAGTTTCTCGTTACTCAGGTTTTTTAACCTTTTGCAAGACGCCCGCTTGTGTGCCTAATGCACACCAATAAGTAGTTATCCAAAAATGGGATTAAGGCAGGAATTCAATTCACAAGCCTTTTTGAAAAAATCAATGATTTTGAAAATTATTGGGGCTTCAGGTCGTTGTGGATCTATCCATCGAAATCTATCCTCAGGTTGGCCTGTCCTTGACATCTGAAAATGAGGTGACCTGTGGTTTCCACTTCTCTTCCACATAATCTGCAAACAGGATCGTCTCTGAGACGTAGGTTTCTTAAATGATACTTGACCTTACTATGTCCCGTCAAGAGACCAATGGCAATTCTAATATCACTCTTAGGTAGTCTCAGTATTTTTCTCATCGGTTCACACTGTAACCGGCTTCATGTCCAAAGCACTGACAAAATGCTATAAAAAAACTCGCTGTACTCACTAAACAACCCCCTTTCTGAATACCACTCGATGCAGTGCACCGTTACGAACGGTTCTTTCGACGCGGAATCCGAAAATTGCCTGAAATATGGTAAAAAGTAGTGGCGAACGATGAACAGTACTTTGAATAAAAAACATCATACAGACAGTTTAAAGTTATAACGTTCAACCACGTTCAACATTTGCAAAGCGAAAGTTAGGTTAAGTTAGTAATATTATATTTATTTCAGCATAATTTTAATATTTCGGACAACAAAATGAAAAAAAAGAGTTGATAATATTAAAATTCTAAATATTTTATACCTGAAGCGACTTGAAGTTAATTAGTTCAATTTTATTTAAGCCATTTCCAACAAGCTATCTTTAAGGCCAACAATGCCGCATTTGTGATACATTTGTATATTTGCTCAACATTTGTTGAATTTGCGATACATTTGCTGCATTCATTGAAAGCACAGCATATTTATTCAAAAATGATGCA